ATGCTCTGACACTGTTGTGTGCGACAAAGTCTGGAAAAACTGTTTTATTCTAGCCCCTCCCTGACACTGTTGTGTGTGGAAGACGCGGAGGAGAAAAATAAATAATGTTCTTTCCCTCCTTTGTCTTTGCCTTTCGCCTTGTGGACTACCACAGAGTAAAGTACATTTTATCAATTTATAAAATCTCGAAGGATACGTTCACCATCTCAAAGTGACAGAATAAATGAATGAATACTAAATAAATAAATAAATAAATAAATAAATAAATAAATAAATACATAAATAAATAAATGGCAACCAACCATTCAAACAAACAAAGACACACATGTTTTTAGGATAATGACTGCAAGATGTGAACAATAACTTGTGTAAAGTAAAGAATTCTATGCGAACGCATTAGAACATGCATCTTCTGATGTTTTGTCCGAAAAAAGAGAAGTTTATTGACACTAACGATTAGGGAAAAGCAAGAAAGAAAGGACACAACACAGCAGATAGAAAGAAAGAAAGTTCTGAAGCTAGCTGTGGCGCCCTCCAACCACCTGTGCCGACATAAAAATATAAGGACTCTGTGACAGTAAAACAAGATTTATTCGAAAGAGAATTCGATTGTTCACAGCCTGATTATTGTTGTTTAGGACCCAAAAAAAGTACCAAATCGCTTCATAAAAACCCCCCAACAAAACAACTGTACAACTTTCTTGCTTTTAAACTTTCTTTTCTTTACTTTCTTTTCTAAACTTTTTTTTACTCAAAAGAATGCAAATAATTGGTTGATGGCACAGTGTTAGAGATACTCGGTTCTAAAGTGTTTGCTAGCGGCACCGCTGTACAGGACTGGCGCCTACCACGTCTACATCATAGGAGGAATAATTAACTCATTAACATTTGTTGTTTTGGAGTACTTTTTTTTTTAAAGAGGCATGACCACGCTATTAATGCATATCTTTCTATTCTGTTTTCGTTGTTTGAAATTTGAATGAGGCAGGTAAAAACGTGTATTCTATGAGCTATGCAAATTTGTGTTTCTGATTTGTGCATGATGGTTCGAAAAATGTGTCGCAACATTGCTTTTGGTCTCTGATGGTTGGACGTGTGTGTCCTCTTCGACCTAAAGAGTTAATGTTGTTTCCACATGATAGAAGACATGGAATAAGATAAAGAGGTTAGCCCAGCATAGAGAGAGGTGGAAAGTGTTTGTCCGTGGCAAATACCCTGGTGCAGGGTGAGAAAGGCAATGGTGATGATGATGATGACGTAGAAAAGAAGAAGAGTGTGATCACATGTTGTCCACACCGGATGAAATACAAGTTTTGAATCCTCGCACAGAAAACTGCAGTACTCAGAACACAGAAAAAAGATACCACTGGACTCACTGCTATTAAACATAGCATAGATTGTGAAGCGCTTAGAGCTTGCTGTTGAGCGGGGATTTGCGCTATACAAACGCTGATCTATAATCTATTATTATTATTAAACGGTGAGGAAAACTTCCTAGCACATCATCATGCCCGAGTCACAACACACGTAGAGGCCTTGCTCAATCTCAGAAGACACTCATTCATTGAGAGTATAAGAATGTATAGATTCCAAGTGTAGTATAGTGCTGTAATGTGAGGGCAGTAGTACAAGTAGCAAAGATTCTCTACTACACAATCTTTGCTAGTAGTACCGGCAGTAGTAGTAACAGAGATAGTATAGCCTACGGTACACGATCTTTGCGAGTAGTAGTAGTAACAGTAACAATAAGAGGGCCAGCGGTCCGGCAAATTCCCCACAATGTACAATGTAACTGATGCAGCGGCTGTCCATCACACTCATGTCTCGCCTTGTTCTACCTGTCTGTGGATGTGGGGCCGGGGGAGAGGGGAGGGGGTCAT